TCGTTTAAAGTTATCTTTCCTATTTTAAAGTTGAATAACTGATTAACTAAGGAAATACAACCATGTAGTTTTCAACATATTGTAGTCCATCTTAAACAATATTTCCTTAGTTATTTACTTTTAAAATTTTAAGATTGGAAAGATAATTTTGGACCACCCTGTATTGTTAAGTCATAGTAGTTTGCTGGTTAGAACAAATAACCTGATAACTAAGAGTTACGAAGATATTAATAGTCCATGTCTCTAAATCATTGAAGAAGTGACAATGGCTAGTTGAATCAAATTTCATCCGAAATTTCAACATCTTAAACATTATTAGATCTAAATGCAATTCCAATATGGTTTAATATTGAGTGTTAGTGACCTAGCAGCTTGGAAATCATGTAGATAGTGAAAAATAACAATAACTTTCAGTTTTTTATGTGAAAAGGTTATCATACATTCCTGAAAGTTACGAAGACTTTCAGTATCTAACCCATTAGAAAATGGCATTTGGCTTCTCCATGCTCTAAACCTGGTGTAGACCCAGATAACGGCTTTGTTGTATAGACTTTGCAGAACATATATTGATCTTTGTGATTCCTGAAGGAAAACTTTGTTACAGCAATTTTACGTCAACCTTTCTTAAGTTACTCTTTTCGTTACTAAGAAATCTATTTGGAAAATTTCTGTTTCTAGGTTTCAAACAACCTTGGAAAATTTAGCACTTCTAACGATATTGGGTCTATAACTGGTCTATCAAATCAGGTCTCCATTAACCTCACCACTTAGTAAACTCAATTTCATGTTCAGCACTTCTAACGATTTTGGGTTTGTACCTGGTCTATCAGACCAGGTCTCTATCAACCTCACCACTGAATAAAGTCAACCTCATGTTCAGCATTTCTAACGATCTTGGGTCTTTACCTGGTTGTGAGAGTGTATTTGCTTGTTTTCGGTACCAATGTAGAGATTACAAGCTTTAATAAAAACACTGCCTTCTGATAACTTTCGTACTGCATTTAACCTCAGAAGTTGTCCAGTTTGATAATTTTTAACTGGAAATAAAATGTCTCAATTATATTGTTGTTGTTAAATATATTTGAATCCAAAGGATGTAACTTAACATAGGTTTGCACTACTGTTTATTTTTATTTTACTCTGGCAATAACTATCAACTTGCAGTAATACTTACTCTTAACATTATATAATTTACATTTATAAAGTTTATTTGAAGATATGCTAAAGAAACATTATCGAGTTTGTTTTGCCCATTGAATACGAGAGGGCACTTTACTGCCAGTGACCTTCATTTACAAGGGTTTGGTTGGGTAACAGGGCGTCAATACTACTTGAACTGTGATATGAATATTGGAACAATTGTACTTTAATGATCTGGTTTGAAAATAACGAATGACTGCAGATAGGGCTATTATTTGTCAAGTCGGGTTAATTCAGGTTCACGTGTGGCGTTTAATACCATAACTTTCGTTCCTGGCTAGTAAATCCGTAGCCTCTCTAACTCCACATACTCTAGCAATAATATTATTGTTCAAATCACGAAACATTTATCTTATGGCATGAGTCATACAAAATAACGATCTTTACTGCAATTATATTTATTTTCCGGAATATGACCAAGTGTCATACGTTGCCTACTGAGTAAGACTATGAGAAAAAGAACACTAAATAGACTTTTGTTTGATTATATGGTTATTATGTGATAAAACATGAACAACATAAGTGAAATTGATTTTAGCTATCAACCGACCGATTTTTAAAACTGTGTTATTTAAACATAAATTGACAACGTAAGTAGAATATTTTTTTTTATAATCATAAAACAAAAACTGGGCACTTTTGGATGATGGACTTGTTTTCTTCAGGAATGAATTGGGAATGAGCAGGAACTATTTTTATTCAAATAATTAACATTTTAGATAATTATAAGTTTCTTTACACGATATGAAACCTTAGAGATTTATAGTTCTATTTTGAATTGAGAAATAATTCGCATACAAACCATTTGGTCTCTTAGTAGATTTTCTTATTTGTAGCCAGTAGACGACTTTCATTACAGAAAACAAAAGCACAATAAAACAAGGATTAAACAAAGATCAAACTAAGACTTTCACAATTTCTTGATTCCTTAATGTAGTTTACTGTTTTTCTTTACAGATCTATTTTACTCGACCTTAACGGGTTATCTGTGTTCTTTCCACCATGGGATGAAACCCGGTTTTTAGGGTTATAAGCCAACAGACTTATCGCTGTGCCACTGGGGACTGACATTAAAAAAAAGAATCAGTCGAATAAAAAATAGAAGATTTTATAATGAATAACATTTAGAATATATATGTCATATACATCAAAGAGATAACTTTGGAATTTGTTGTTTGCAATTTGAACGGCACCTTTAGTGATACGTAGGCTAAACGTTCAGGTCAGAGACCCTAAGTTTCAGGCATATCTATTCCTAATTTAGAACTATTGACCAGAGGGAGGAAAAACATTCAGCTGACCCCACCACCTACACGTCTACTCTTAGTAGAATAGCAGGATTGACTGACATTTTCAAAACGCATCTACAGTTCACAGTATGTTCAGCAGCTTAAACCTTGGACATTCAGGCAAGTAGCCCGGTACACTAACCACTGGACAAAGTCCTACCCTTTAGACAATCAGAAGGATTAAGGATCATAGTGCGGACTGTTGAGGTTTTGCCATTAAATTAAACGTGGGAGTTAATCTACTAATACAAACTCAATGGTGAAACGTTATCTTAAACGAGCTGTTCTTTTAATATCGAAGTATTGATCATTTGCATTTCAGTCAAGTAGATAATTATTCACGCTATAAAAAACACACGGGTAATATTTTGATTGATAACGCCCACATATTTGCCATCACAATCATAAAAGCTAAGTGTCGGTCGGTCAGTTGGTCAGTCATGCTTGAGTTACATGAGTCCAATTCCACTTTTTCTTCTATAATACTTTCTCTTTTGATTTCCCGTCTCCATTTTAGTTGAATTCAATCGCTAACATAGGCGTGAATTTCTTCTATATTTCGACACTTTTTCTGCCATATAAAATCCTGTCAAGAAGGGAGTTTTTATACCAACGATTTATTTATCACCGAATGAAATTATTTTGCCGTTTGTTATGAAGAGAAGTTTATGAACGATGATCGAGTATTTACAATAAATGTGGTTTTAAGAGAAATATTGCAATAGTGCAATTGATGTGATTAGAAAACCTCTGTGATTAATGAATGCTGGGACAAGGGTCGATGCTGGGAAGAGACGCTCTAAGTAGAGGAGATATTGCTCAGGATAGACTTTGGCTTCCCAAAGCTAGAAGACCCATATTTTTCTTATGTTTGTTTACGGGCGGCAAAGTTGCAAATGCATATTGGAGAATTCAAATTTGGTAGGCTTTGGTTTCCCGTCATTTTTGATGGGCTGTTATACAAGTCTTTTTAATAAGAAACTAGTTTAAACTATATGCATACAAGATTACATTTCTCCCTAGCTTTTATATTATTTAAAGAATATTAGGATTGTGTTGGATCTTTCAAGACGAGAAACTTGAATCAACGGTATATCACCAAAATGTTTGTATTAATCTGTCCAAGTGCTAATCTTTATTTTTTATTTCCAAAGGAAATGCACACTACTATTGTTTATTTTAAACTGTTTATCATATCCTGCTATTATTTTGTAATACTGAAAAGTGTAGTTTCTTATTTGATTACCAATATATACGTATGGCATAAGAATTGTTTTAAGTGCTTCTCCATTGAAACTGATTACTAATTATAAACATGCTAGAATTGCGTAATAGCTACAAGGTGCATGCACTTCAATACATATATATATTTCTAAGTGAACGGTAAGGTGACACAATACAGCACTTTTCACCAAGACTCACGTGCTACTGTCGTTAGATACCCAATAACATGAGTCTAGTTGACTACTTTAACTCTTCAAAGTAACTTCTCATTTCAATAGAAATTATCAAATGTTTGTTTCCAGTATTAAGACATAACAAGTAAGACTTCAAAAAACTGAACAAATATCACGAAACAAACGCTATTGTTATTTCTCGATAGTGATTATTTGATCACTTTTCCACCAAGTGGATTTTGTTTAATTGTTTCTAAAGTTCCAACACAACTCGCTCACGATCCGAAAAAAGTTATTGCTAACGTCACCAAGTAGAGTAAAAACTCGTCTAATATATATATAATTTGCTTTTAAAGTAATGATTTATTTCTTTTGATGATTGGCATTTTATATATTTTTTATTGTATAATCGATACAGGATTTTCATTTGTAACATGACTACAACATCTGTTTCTTTTGTACTTGTTTCTAGTAAGTGAGATTACTATAGAAAACTTATATCATTTACATTTCCAATTAAAAAAGAAATTTGCAGTAACTAAGTGAGTACATTTATTGGCTAAAGCTAGAACATTTTTGCTAAGGGCAAATGAATGATAGTTTCTCCTTTGTTACAAGATTTACATAGATTAAACTTCAACTTCCCTTTTTTTTTACTTGTACAACACTATTTTGTTTTTCAAAAAAATTGATAAAATTAAAAATCCAATATTATATCTCAACCAATGGTAAAATGATTTTCACACAATAATCAAAACAAGAAATGTGTAATAATTTCTAATTTTTAACAACAACAGTATAATATTTTTGTTATGGCATATTTACGAAAGGGATCCTTTAACAATCGATAGAAATTTAGCTTATTTTACAAATTTACACTAAAATAACTATAGCACTATAATACAGAACAACGTTCGTTGCTGCTGGACCACTGCATACAGATCCTTGGGATTTTGGTCAATTTAAAATGTAGGAATAAAGTAATAAATAGGTATTGGAAGTTCATTTTTATTTTTGTACAGGAGCGTCTCACATTGGTCCAACAAACACTCCTATACTCACGAAGACCGGTAAAGAGTATAAGATTTGGTTCAAACACACTCGAATGCAGGGTTTCATGAGCATTAGTATATGATAGAACCAAAATCTTATGCTCCTTATCAGTTTTCGTGAGTATTCAAGAATCTGTTTGAACAAAATCTTATGCTTGTTACCGGTTTTCGTGAGTATTCAAGTATCTGTTTGAGCTAAATTTGATGCTAGTTACCGGTTTTAATACATAACTAGAATAGGAGTTAGTTAAAACAAATTCTTGAATACTTATGAAAACTGGTAAGGAGCATAATATCTGGTTCTATCACACAACCGAATGCTCATAAGATTTTGTTCAAACAGATACTTGGATACTCATGAAAATTATTATCAAGTATAATATTTTGTTCAAACACACACACACTCACATACACACAAACGAAAAACAGTAACGAACATAATATTTGGTCCAAACACGCACTGGCATACTCACTAAAACTTATATTATAATGGTCCTGATACCGTACTAATTGAACACAATAAATTTGAATCTTGCACAATATTTTTGTCAGTAAAGAGACGACGATGTAACCCCTTGACTTCCTTCTATTTTTTAAATCTTTCTTAATATTATTACAATATTCTCATATAAATAAAACTTTCTTTTATACCAGTAGCACCAAAATGAAGTACAATGTATTTGGATAGAATTGAAAAAGATACCCAAATAATTTTTTCAGTTCATTTTGAGGGATTACGTAAGGACTTCACAAAATAATTATGAGAATAAAAAGCGTTTAATTTAGATATAACTAGAAACGTAAATAAACAATGGTGAGTCTTGTCTTAGAACTGTCACACATCATGACATTATTACACCATTTATGGTTAAATGTGGTTCGCGAGAAACAGTGATATCTAATGTATTTCAGAATAATTCTAATTTTACACCAACACGAGAAATGCCCCCAGGAAGAACAGATGCATAATGATGTTAAGCAGCAAAAGTAAATAGCAGCAGAATTCACATCAGACCAAATCCTATACCTGCATTTCACACTTGTTTATAGCCATGTAAATCCAGGTTGTTGATCTCTAGATATTCTATGTATTGTGATATCTTGCAGAAGCATCAAACCTGGGAGCTCTTCGCCACAGCAACAAAGTCCATTTATGTTTTTTTTAAAGCGAGTGAAATAATCTTTACTAAGTATATACTTTCAAGCTGAAGAAATAATTTGTGACGCAAACCATAGGTAGACCAATCATCAGAGTCCCAGAAGACACAAATTCATCTTCTCCATTGGTTGGTTCTGTAAAGATAAACCAGTAATTCCATTACTAAGGTTATCTAATTATGAAGACTTTGAAATGAATTATTAATTTTCTTTTAATACTTTGAAGTATTTAATATTATTTATTTCTCAAGCGTGTTTAAAAATGGTTTTGACCCATATTCTTTGAAATAAAAGAGAACCCAAAACAAACAAACAAACGGCCAGGTGGTTAGGGCGCTCGACTCGCAGTCTGTGGGTTCGAATCCCCGTCATACCAAACATGCTCGCCCTTTCAGCCGTGGGGGGGGGGTTATAATGTAACGGTCAATCCCACTATTCGTTGGTAAAAGAGTAGCCCAAGAGTTGGCGGTGGGTGGTGATGATTAGCTGCCTTCCCTCTAGTCTTACACTGCTAAATTAGGGACGGCTAGCGCAGATAGCCCTCGTGTAGCTTTGCGCGAAATTAAAAACAAACAAACAAACTGAAACTGGGGAACAATATAAATGTTTTTGAGTTCATCGTTTGTTGTGTTTAAGATATATGTTCTACTTGATTCATTCTTAACATTACTTTATTACTTCCTAAACCACTCCAATCGATTTCAACATCAGCTTGAACACTAGAGTAAAATTACGATATTCAGCTACTTGTTCGGGGCAGAGCTTAACATCAGGTAACCATAACGAAATATCGTTTATGACTACTTTATATACTTTAGATACATCAGTATAAATCATTCATTAAATCCATTTCCCCAGAGAAGAAGTCTCACATCGATATTTGATATAATTTTTGTGGAGTTCTTAATGAATCCAAAGTATTGTTTACTCGATATCCACAATTTGATTTTATTACTATTTCTTGTTAGAATCTATCATTCGGTAAAAACCTTCGTTGTAAGAGGCATTATGTTTAAATGTTGATACTAACTTATCAGTTTTATCTTTACCATCTGCACCATTCAAGGTTGTCGATCCATCATCATCTGATATTAATATCTGTTTACTTGGAATTTCTAAGATATCGATATGTGATAACATATTAGATGCTTTGCTCGTGCTAATCGTTTGTGAAATTTATTAATCCTTGTTCATGATGAGCGATACAAGTTAATTCAATTTCTTCAATCAACATTTTACCAAGATGTAATTGTACTCTTACACAAAATATTTCTGTATTAACGAGTATTACATTATCTGTTCCAATTGAGGAACCATTTTCCTTTGTCATTTTTAATTCTGTACAAATATAACCATTAGAATATAGTATGTTATCGTTTGTACTTTAATGTTGAAATCATATTTAACTAACTCTTTTTCGTCGATGTTGTTTGTATTCAAAACTTTCTGTAATGCTAAGAAAGCATAAGAAAGCTCAGTTGATTGAATTTGAGATTTATGTTAACCTGCGCGAACACTTTGTATTAATTTTTTTAAATTTCTAATTATTTTTCAATCGTATAAATTTAAATCTAGGTAGATATTGCAAAAATCTAAAAGTCCCTGTTTCAAAACGGTTGTGTGTTAAAGAAACCCCTTATTATTTTTTTATTCCTCCAAAGGGATAGAATGAAGACAAACCCAAGGCAAAATTTGAGACTTTGGAGGGCAGGACAACGAAAAACATATGATGATTGTCATTTCCAATGTTTGTTTAACGATTTTAGGATATTTTATGATGAGTTTTGCCTATTTTTGATGATTTTTTTATATACTTTATTATATTGACCTATGTTTGGGGTTTTTGAGTTATATGTTGTGTTTTTTAACATTTTGCAATTTTTACCTGCACCAGAACGTGTTTAGTAACACCTAGTAAATATTCCTGCAGATATTTGTAACTTTTTTTTATTTCTTAAAACGTCTAATTCTACACCTTAGTAAAAAAGAATTAACTCATTTAATATAATTGTATATTATGAGAATTTTATTAAGCATTAGAAACGCAGATATGCACTATATATGTATATCATATACAATCAGAGACACTAGAAGTCTTCAGTTGTGCCGTTAATCAGCCTCAGAAGAACGAGTTACATTGAAAACCAGTAAGACAGAAATAACAAAGTTGAAGTTGAGACTGACACTCAACCCGGAACAAGCCGTAAACTTATAAGGATGGAATATGTGTTTACCTTACTACCGATCTTTAACTCGAGTTAACATGAACTCTAAAACCCATGGAGACGAATGAAATAACACAATTTGTCATCCGGTACTAAATATTATGTAGAATCGATGATTACTCAAAAAGAGTTCTCCGATTGGTTTCAAAATCCTTTCTTTATTTGCATCAATCCCAAATAATTAGATATCAGTAAACTTACCACCATATTAGAATAAACTAAAAATACTTTAACACATATTTATCAAATTTAGTGTATTTTCAATACTGATACATTGGAGCATAACTGTCCCCTGGTTACGATTTCATTAAATAGTGATATATTTAAACTAATATTAGAAATTTTCTAATGAATAAGAGTAACAATTTTGGGGGGTAAGAACTGTTTACAAAACAGTTTTAAACCACTATTCTATAATATTGTTTACGAAAAGTTTTTGTTTGTTTTGAATTTCGTGCAAAGCTACACGAGGGCTATCTGCGCTAGCCGTCCCTAATTTAGCAGTGTGAGACTAGAGGGAAGGCAGCTAGTCATCACCACCCACCGCCAACTCTTGGTTTACGAAAAGTAATAAAGCCTTCACAAAAGGTATCCATAAAAGAAAATATCTATAGATAGAAAATTTTAAAATTTACCTATAAAACCCAAAAAATGTTGCCTAAAACAAGTAAAACCGGAATCATACTGTTTACATCTAAACTTTGTACGATAAAAAAACGAGAAGGTTTGATAATAGAAAAGTGAATTTGACAACGAAGTGAACGTTGGCTTGAAAACACTTGGATGACCTACCTTGTATAGAATTTGACTAATTGATAGTTTATATAGACGGTACCTGCGTTTGCCTTAAATAGATACAAAGCACACGACGAAAATATTGTAAAAGGATTATAAACTTTGGTAGAATAATAAATGATACTTACTCCGTATGAAACTAAAATAATGAAGGAAATACGAGTCAACAAAAATTATTCAGTATAATAATAGCAATATATATATATAATGCGATTACAAAGACTATCTTAAAAACTACTTGTCTTAGGGAGTGATAAAATTGCTTTCTAACGCACATTGAAAATCAGGAGAATGGGAGCTATACTAATAGTTGTATCTTAACAATTTGGTATTCATGTCGAAACATAATGAGGGCTGTAATGGCAACTTCAAGGACAGAATGTCATTTCCCCCATTGATGTATGTTACTCTAACATATCATTTGTTATTACATTTTTATGAGAAAGAACCACCTTCCCACATCTGGCTGCACACAGCGAAAGGTGGTAAAGATGTGGGACGTTGTGAGCTTAAGCACCCAAAAGTGCTCATTTTTTCTATCTTTATCTCGTTTTTAAGCATGCGACAGTGTACCATAAGCGAAATTTGGGTCTTAATTCCGCCCGTACCTCAAAAAACCAGAGCATATTACATAATGACCCACCCTATGATTTGTACCCCGGTGTTGAATATTTGTTTTATGACTGCGTTGTTATTTTTTCAAGTATATTTTTTCATTGATTTATTTTTTCCTTCTATACAAAATCAAGTCTAATTATATTTCATATAAGACTTGGATATGCGGTGTAACACTTACTCTATTCGTCCTTTTGATAAAAAAGATATAGTTTACTTATACATATCAGGTTTCGAATTACGCGCAAAGCTACACGAGAGCTATCTGCGCTAGCCATCCCTAATTTAAGGCAGTGTAAGACTAGAGGGAAGGCAGCTAGTCATCACCATCCACCGCCAACTCTCCGGCTACTCTTTTACCAAGAGTGGGATTGACCGTCAGATTATAACACACCCACGGCTGAAAGGACGAGCACGTTTGGTGTGACGGGGATTCGAACCCGCGACCCTAACCACCTTGCCATACCGGGCCTACTTATGTATGTATGTGTGTGTTACATATAATATTTAGCGTCGGTCAATATAAATCAGTCATCTGTCCCTTTTATTAGGAACACTTGTATCTGTTTACTTGTGTTCAAACTTTATTTTACTAATATTAAATCGTCACTAAAATCCTCATTATCAGACCACAAAATGTATTATTCTTTGTAGCTACACTTCGAAAGGTAAGTGAAAATACCTCTAACGTCCGGATTTATTTCAAGACCAAAGCTAAACTATGTTATTGATGGTAGAATGATTATTAGGAGGAGTCCAAAGCATAAACAGATTAATGTAGTTATTGTTACTTGTTTGTTTGTTTAAGAAAAGAAAATCAGAATTTTCTTGGAAAGCCGCACAGAGAATCTTCGTATTTATGTTTTGTTTTTATGGCAAAGCTACTAAGGCTAACTACTACCGTCCCCAATTTTACACTACTGACCACAAAATATGCAGCCAGTTAGAAGCACTTACCGTCCACCATCCACGCCAATGGATTGACTGTCAATCTTATAACGTACCCACAACTTAATTAAAGCTTGGGGAATATTTTGTGGTATTACAAGGATTAAAACCTTGTTCGCCAGCTCTATCACATGGCTAACCCGCGCCCCGCAGAATGAGGTATCAGTCCTTAATGTTGAACTGATATATTAGAGGGAAGATAGCACCAAGATGGCATTTGACTGTTATTAAAAATAACATCTACGGCCCCAAACAGCGGAGCGAGTTTTTGCGCCAACGGTACAAGTCGTTGTCGTGCACACGTATTTCAAAGAATTTTAATTCTCTATGTGCGGAGTTTCACTATTTCTATGTAGCGTCATTTATCTACGAGAAATACCCAGTTCTGTGTGTGATTTCTGTATTACAAGGGTATTAAACCATAATATTTTTCACATGTGATATCAGCAATGTCTAATAAGGGTTTTTGCTCAACCTTAAAGCTGTGCGTCCTGAGATTAATTCATATTTTAAATGTGTTACGATAAATTAGTTATTTAGGCAAATATGATAATAAAATATATTGTAACGTTGTTATTTCAATAAAACAAAACAGTAACAATATAGCCAAATACTGCTAGGAAGAGAACCACATATTACCTGCTTCCAAGTTCCCTATTTCATGAAGGCCAGAAGTCTGTTGATAACCTCCAATGAATACTTCTTTACTGCTTGTATCAATTACCTTAGCAACCGTAGCAGTACATCTGATTTTAAGACCATCACCATGTAAGTGCTTTTGTGTGATAGTGAATCTCAAGCCCAGTTGAGAAAATAAAGTTCCATCTTCCCGGTGAATATTCGGATGTATAATAAGATACGAAGTGTTGACCTTTTTTGAGAAAGTAAGAATACGAAATAATTCAATGTTAGAATATTTCCAATGAAATATTTCGTGTCGTCCGACAAATTAACACTTTGGCCAAAACATTTTTTAGTCTTATCTTGAAGTATGACTTTTTGTGAAAATGGGATTGGGTATATATTCGCTTTAATAATTGTATAATTTAACAGAACGAAACGAGATAGATACACATGTGTTGCGTTCTTGGACTATCTTCAACACTATTCTAGCACATACAAAAATTTCTAATCTTGTGTTGAAAAATATAAATCACATATTTTAAATTTGTTTCTCATATAGACATTAAAAATATTAAAAGTTTTGAAAACTTTTGCATGACTGAATAACTGAGGTTTCAGTATTGATAACTTTTAATGCAAAGTTTTGCTGGTTTTATGTCTTTTTTTAGGAGTAATTTTAATGCTAATTGGATAAGTTATAGATAGTTTCTTTAATTTGCCAAAGATTACAGTATTTTAATATGATCTATTACATATTTAGCTCTGCTGAATCATTTAAAAAATAGAAAGAGTAAAAAGCTCACGGCAGTAAAAATAATTATATGATGCCGAGAAAAGCCTTATGACATTTTATCGAATTATAATAAAATACTCTAAAGTTATGAGTCTAAAATCGTGTTTATGTTTAACGTAATTTATAAAGAGACTGTGAACAACGAAATAATTTGAAATTTAATCAAGCTATTTGGAAACCATTATAGTGTTTATAGAATTCCAATATGCTTATACAACTGTTCAACTGAAAATGGAAAACCTTATAAGAGTAGCTTTTTCAGTGTAAGATATCGTTAGACTGTAAACTTAGTGTTAAAAGCTGGGTGTATTTATTATTTCCATAAAACTTATATTTGCTGAGTAAAGCAAACGAACACATATCAATACTTATAACATGCCAATTATTTTATATTATAAATTACCAGATTGGATCAAAATAGCTTTAAATATATAACTGAAATAAAAATGTATGAATTACCTGTTTTCCATTAATAGACCATGAAAGTTTAAGGGACTTCGTATCTCTTGAAGAAGAACAGTTCAGATTTACAATGTCCCCTACGACGTATCTACCTTTGTCTCCTGTTATACGTGGAGCTATATTTTGGACAACAACGTTTGATGCTGAAGAAACAGAAACAAATATTATCCCGTTAACAAATATAATAAGCTCTTCGTGAAGGTATATAATCAAAAGTTATTAACTCCTATCAGTTGCTGAAGAAAATAATTGTGGTACATAATCAAAATTCATTAACCCCTGTCAGTCGCGGAAGAAAGTAGCTGTTTCGCACAGTTTCGGTTGTTTTAAAAGTTATGAACATACGCATCATAATGACAAGTAAGATAGCTAGTTAATACTATAGTTTTAAATCTTTTGGAAAATTAAATAAGCAGCTGTTGTACAATGAGATGGTGTATTTTTTGTCCATACTTCCTGGTAAAATTGCTCCAATTCTGACAAGTTCGTTGGGGATCACTGATGGACTGCAATCTTCAAGTCTTGCTATACATTTTATATTGGATTCGAGTGAGGACTTTTATGAAGCACAGTCCACTTCTTTATGATGAATTTCACCGTACCCAAACAGATAATCAGCGACTTTGAAATTTTCTTGTAACCTTCTCCTGATCTGTGCTTCTCTATCACTTTATCCCTGACTTGTTTGGAAAGCTCCTTCGTCTTCATGGTTGGTTTGTCAAATCACTGTGAGTTTTGGCTTGAATAGTTAAATTTACTCCGAAGTCAAGTTAAACCACTTGTATTACACACAGACAGAGACCATTACACTAATTTTGTGACCTTTCAAACTAATATTTTGCACTTGAACTGATTTAGGGTTGCCGTAGTAAAGGGGTTGAATACTTATACAATTGAGAATATTCTAATTTTCTTTAAAAATCTAACTTACTTACATAGTATCAGCGTTTTTTTTTAGCTTTCTTACTTTGGAATAAATTGCGTAGATCCTAAATATAAAGTTCCATTTGAAAGTTTAATTATTGTAAGCTGAAACGGCAACAAAATGTGGAAAGTTTGTTGTGGGGGTGAGTATTTTTGCAAACACTGTAATGTCATTAATTTCGTTGTCGTAAGTTATATTTGATACTTAGTCTCGGATCTTTAACTTCTATAAACAAAGCTATTTTCCTAATTGGCAATGATAAATACTTTAGTAGCTATACACAGTGTCCATCAGTGCTTCCAACCAATTTAAATTCGATTAGTTACTCAAGTTTTAACAGCTGTAGATTTCTGTGTCAAGTGATTCCCGTGTTTTCAAACATTTCAATCACGCAATCATGTACTAAACAGAATGAATAAGTGTTCTTGGTAAAACAACTTACAACGAAAATTGTCTGCTTTAATACTTTCTCCTATAATTAGTTCTTTGCTGTGAGTGGAGTATTCTTGGGTTACGGAGGCTGTGCAACGAAGTCCCAAGGAACCAAATGCGAAGTGACTGTACGTAACAATGAAAGTTAGGCCTAGAGCAGTTGATTCCAATCCATCAAAGTGCTCTTGAACGGGGTAAGAAGTTAAGAATGATGACTTGGCCTGAAAGGTAGAAATCAGGTGTAAATATGTGTAACTTTTCGAATTCCTTTTAAATTATAAAACAATCTCACTTTAACAAGTATCATTACAGAAAACTCTAATACGAAAACTAAGATATTTAATATTTTGCATATATTTAATTCCATATACATTGTTTAGAATTTTTAATTGGACGGAAATATGATTCATACTGCAAGAAATGTATTTCCGATATCTATGCAAAGCTACCTAAGTGCGCTAGCACAACCTACTTTTGAACTAATAGATTAAAACTCTTTGACTCTCTAATCTAGTAGTGGTGTTTGACCGTCACTTTTATAACGCACCCATGGCTCCAAAGTTCGGAGTGCGATTTAGCAGCGCTGGGACGAGAATCATGGAGCCCTGAATCCATAGTCCGGGATATTAACCACTAGGTTACGCCGACCCAATATAAGTGATAATAGAAATAATAAGTAATTTTAATAACGTTGAGGGTTAAAAATACACCTTTACTGGTGAATTCTTTTCAATATAACTAAATATTAGAGACGAGCAAATAGATAAAATAAGTGATTATAATCTACTATTATCATAAATATCATATTGTTGTATTGAAGATCACAAGATAATATCTATTATTCTACCTCTTGCCCGTTGATGAACCACATGAGGTTAGAGACTGGTTTGGAAGGCTTTGAGAAACATGTGACATTTAATTCTTCACCAATCTGATAAAGTGGTTGGTTACCTTCAATATCAGGTGGTTCTTGTGGTAAAACTGGAGGAAAAGAAAAAATATAAAAATAACTTCTATTAAATGTACTGATACAACTTCAAATGCTTTTTAAACAGTATCATTAGAAGGTTATTGAATAAATTATTAAATATTAATTCAAAAATCGTATTCTAAATCTGTGTTTATGATCAGTCTGATAAAAGTTCATGATTGCTTATCCAGTATTATGTACTTTTAGAAAAGGTATAACCATTATCCTTGAGAATAAAACTTTATAGCGCACTTTTATTTGGGGTGGTGGGCCAGAGTTATGTGAGATTCTTCAAACAGGCCCTAATAATTGAAGTAAGCCAAATCAATAAAAAACATTTTCAAAGCACAAAACAGTTGAAACACAACTAAGAAAAATTTCCTTTATTTTACATTTGTGAGAGATCTCGTTGCTGAAAAGATTTGTTCACATTTATTGACTGAAGAAGGTAAATGCTTTCCACAAACAGCGAAATTCAATTTACCATATATCTTCAATGCCTTATCAACTTGCACTGTTCTGTAAGATGGCGCTTCCGTCGATACTTCACACTCATATAGGCCCTCAGTACTAAGATCTGTCTTGGCAAGGAAGACGTGAGTTTGGTTGGATCTTTCTAACTAAACAAAAGAGAAGTTTACAAGACGGAAAACATAAAAATTGGATGATATTTTTCATTGGCTAATTTACTGTGTGCGTGTTTTTGATATAAAAACAAAGACATTCAACAAATTAAAGTATAATAATAGAAACAGATTGAATTCTATTTGTTTGTTTGTTTGTTTTTGAATTTCGCGCAAAGCTACACGAGGGATAACTGCACTAGCCGTCCCTAATTTAGCAGTGTAAGACTAGAGGGAAGGCAGCTAGTCATCACCACCCACCGCCAACTTTTGGGCTACCCTTTTACCAACGAATAGTGGGATTGAGCGTAACGTTATAACGCCCCCACGGCTGAAAGGGCGAGCATGTTTAGTGGGACGGGGATTTCGAGCCCGCGACCCACAGATTGCGAATCTAGCGCCCTAACCACCTGGCCATACCGGGCCAGAAGTATGTGAAGCACTAATGAGATCCTAGTTTCACTAAACTGCTTAAATTATAATAAAATAGCTTAGCTAAACAAACATCACTAGATTAATGATATAAGGTACTGTTAGACATTACATTATCACAATTGTAACAATTATATTGCACTAATGTTTCATCTTCTCACCATTAAGAGATGTATAATTTACAACAGCAGCAGTTAAAATTTTTCTTCGTGATACTTTTAATATAGACCAAGCACGCTCATATTTAGTTTCAACTCGGTTTTCTCGCTGTATGATCAAAGCCCTTCCTCATATTAAGAGAAATCCACATAGTGAAAGAAAAATCACTTGCGTAAAATACTAACACCCCTTTGTAGTTTGATTTTAAGTTAAAGCATTCAGAAGCATGCCTGGATTATAGAGTAAAAAATAAATTTTATGCAGGAGACAGCTAATTCTGAAAAACGAAATGAATGAAGCTGTAGAATGTGTAAATATACACATATATTAGACTCTTTGTCACGCGATTTTCGTATTAGCGAAACACTGACTTCAACTCGTGTGAATTATGTGTAGGCTTAGCGAGCGTGTATGATCTATAGCGAAACATTAACTCCCAAGATCTGACAAACGAAATGAGCATGACAGCCAAATTCATCGTTCACGTTAGACTGGAAAGACACATTAGCAAAGATTCATATTTCTGCAATGTTTTTTCTCAACTTACACAAAATATCTGAAGAACAAAAATATGTTAAAAAAACAATATTAATCAAACTAAACTTTACAACATACAGTTGTAAACTGATAGTTTTACACTTGAATAATCTTGGGCATATTCAACTCATTTCGTTTCTCTCTCCCTGTGGAGTGTTCAGAGTGAAAAATAAAAGAAAAAACTGAATTGTATTAGATTGTGTATTGCTTCATCAAACAAGCTTTGCATTTGAAATCATTTAACTCACATCCAATTTAACTAACAATTTCTTTTTTATATTTTCAACTTCAATACCTAGTGAAAATTTAGGCTTAAAAGTTAGAAGAGCGGAATAAATAGCAACATCATACAACTTTTCGTGAGTGTTTCCTCCTTTTTTGGATAGCACATTTAAGCATAAACGCACTATTTGATTCTTTTATATAAATATAGAAAGCACCGTATTATGGGAAGGTTTTTTTTTTAAAGAAATTCTCAGTCAAATTTGCCGAAACCTTAATTTTTATGATATTTAGCAAAGGAAAAATGAAACATAAGAGTAGAAATTTTTAATGCAATTTTGGTTTCTCAGTTGAACCATTCTCAGACAAGGTACAAAACATTTTACTATTTCTGAGCACAAGCAATATAAATTATATAAACTACAAATATCTGTTAACGTCTATTGCTGTCACTCGAATTAGCTGAATAGGAATCCAGGCTGAATTATAAGCTAGTGTAACAGCTAAGTGATTTGATTACCCATCATTATACATCCAATGTTTAGTGTATGATGCTCGGTCTTATTATTCATTCGAAAATCAGATCCATACAAACTCAAACCGTTGTCATCTTCTAAGCTTCTTAAACAATTTCAGTAGAATCAAAGGCCTCGTAATTAGCAAGTATAAACAAAATTAGTAAGCAGAATACCTAATTTGCATCAAAGTTGCTTAGAAACGTAACTAGATGTAAATATGAGTTATGCACGGGGGAGGGGGGTCATGTGGGGTCCGGGAAAATTTTGAAACTTAAACATGGCGCATTTTGTTGACCTTTTTCGTACATCATCTATAAGAAATTGACCATACAAGCAACACATTGTATTGTAGAAATTTACATTTTTGACCACTAGTATTGTCTTCTAAATTTTGTTGTGAATAAAATAACAATCAGGTTAAGATTTTTTACATCAAAGAAAAATTCGTATCTTAAATTACATTTTCAATGTTACGCACGAGCGTACGTGCGTGTGCCCAGCTATGCCCCCTTTCGTCAGTTGTGTTTTTGTATTAGGACACAACGTGAGGGGAACTAACTAAATAGTAAACACGATGGTATTTTTTTGTTTTTATTGAGTACCATTTTAAAAGTTGTTACTTATAAATTTTACGAGCTATAAAAAATCTCAGATAAGTGGACGACAAAATCATAATATGCTTATAAATTCATTAGTTAATCTATTGATATATTTCCGAGTTTTCTTTCACCTACAAAATCAGACTTTCAATAATAGTGAAAAACATTATTTGTATATAAATTCCATAACCGTTATCTTATATCAACACTTATGTTAGGTGTCAAAATTATTTAAAGTGTACAGTTAAGAGTTTAGTTTGGTTAAAATTATAAAACTGTTTCTTTTATTACGTTCAAATACTGTTGTTTATTTTGGATTTTATAAGAAAACTTAAAAATATTTCAAGTTCAGCCAAAAAGGTTTGGATTTCTTAGAAGTATTGTGTCATTACGATAAGGAAGTGTTAAGTTAAGTATTTTTAATTACGAAATGTATTGTTTTATTATTTTAAATGGTTTAGCCTTACATGTAGTCATTAGACTAACTTATTGTCTTATTGTTATTTAGAAAAAACAAAGTTCAACTATTTGGATTAAGTATTACAATAATCCTAATAGAGTTAACATCTCGAAAAACATAAAAATTATTGCAAATGTATTGAAAAACGTTTTTCTGCTTTGAAACATAGATCGTACAAATCATATTAATCCCGTTGTGGTATACTGACCCCCCATTAATTCAGTGGTAAATACAGGGGATCAATTCCCAGTTGTGTACAGAACGGAGATGCTTTATGCTAAAACGAATATAACATACCGTATAGTCATCAAAACGTTGTTGAAATAGAATATTATTACATACACGATTGCAGAAAGTTTTAACAAACCCTTTGAAAATCAAGAATTAATTCAATACAATTTTTTATATTTGATTTTCTTGTTTATTCTGGTATATTTTTTTTTTATTTCTGTAAGAATACCATGATCAGAAACGTGTCTGCTTGTTTCATTAAAATTGATTTCGTTCTTAAAATTTGCTGTAAGTTTGTTTGTTTGAATTTATGCACAAAGCTACACAATGGGCTATCTGTGCTCTGCCCACCACGAGTA